TTTGGAGCAAGTGGAGAAATTGTGTGGAGTCTCTGAAATATGAAGGAAGTGTTTCGGCTAGTAGTTGTATGAACTAAGTTGATAAGTCACAAAGTATGAGAGGTGGTCTGTGGGACCATCACAAGCAGATACAACAGGTCGGAGAGGTATTCCAGGTTTGTCTATTTTGGGAAGTCCATAGAACAGAAGAGGACGACAAGGATTGTTTGGACGTATATAGTTTGCTGTCTTTTCATTAATCACTTTGAATAAAATGTAGTCAATTGCAATTACAATGTTCCATGCCATTTCTACGGTGGGTTCATATTGTAGAAGTTTATATGTGGTATCATCTGCTAGCATGGACTTAATTTTTTCTTCATAATCTCTCCTTTTTAGAATGCAGATGCTACCACCTTTGTCAGCTTGCTTGATGATAATATTGTTACTATTTTTTGGTGACGTAATCACTTCTTTCATATTTTGCGTTAGATTGAGGTGTGTTATTTTTATTCTCTCATTTAGCACTATGTCCTTTTCACTTTCAACCCTATCAAAGAAAAGATTTGAGTTTGCATTATTGGATGCAGGAGGGTTCCAAACCGTGTTGAATCTACTTTTCATTGGAATCCATTAGGGTGGTCCTTCATTGTTCTCAAAATGAATTAGCTGAGGGTGGTTCATCAGTACACTCTATAGGTCTCTATAGGTATATGTACACCAGTAATTAGGTGAGCAGAGAGTTAGCCCGCTATTTAAGAATATAGAGATAATAAGCTTCGTTGTAACCCTTAATGATGTGTATAATAAAGTTATCTGTGTTACAGATGTGATAGTGTGGTGCACATGTTAGTTATGTCTGAGCTGGTAAAGTCTAAATTGCTCATCTTTGTAGTCCTCATCCATGGGTAACTCAAAAGCAAATAAGCAAAAAAGAACAAATATTTGATTATACAATATACAAATATAAAATGAGTGGTAAGATTTTTAGGACGGTGAAGAGCGAAGTTAGATGCTCAGGGGGCAGTCTCACTCTAGTAGTAACACTCTAAGTAACACTCTAGTCACTCTGTCTGTAGATCATATGTAACAAAAAACAAATATTTGATATACAGATTTTAGAGGCTGTTGACGTCTACATGTGTGACCATGTAGTGCATTAGTATGTTCCGTTTGGTCATCTGATAAGGTTTAGTTATGTTTTTGTCCACTTTCAAATTAAGTGAATAGAAAGCTAAACAAATTCACTTATTATAATTCTTAGTCAAAAGAGTATGTTACTTACCATTTTATTATTTACTTATAAAATAACTACCATTAATACCATACAATAAATAGATAATAAAATGGTAAGTAACATGGTAACAAATAATGGTTCGAGCAATATAAAAATAAAAAATAAAATGTACACATTCTACAAGGTTCAAACTCTGAATCTTCAGTTTATGATGCAGTGCGCTAAACACCATGCTATAGTGTTGATATGGAAATTAAAAAATAATATGTTTATAATGTGGTATTAATTATGTACTAACACTGAACTACCCATATATTAGCAAAATATTTAAATGTAACAAATATATAACAAAAAGCTCAAAAAGAGCTAAAATTCAAGGGTACAAGAGGTAAAAAAATGTTGGTGTTATAATAAACAATTAGAATTAAATAGTGGATGAATGGTGATCCCCTACTCAGGAATGCACTGCAACCACTAATGACATTTAGGGGAGCCTGAGACCTGCACTAATGCCACATAAATTATGATTACACAAAAGCAATAATACTTTTTCTTTATCTTATATTGGGGCCCCAGCTAAAAATGAGACATTTTGCAAACCCAGCCCCGACAAAGTTATAAGATTTAACAGGAGTTAATGGCAGGGGCTAGAAAAAAATTTATAATACTTTAAATATTATCATTTTATGCTTACATTTACTATTTATCAAATACTGACATACATATATATATTTTTAAACTTTAATTTATTTACAACTAGATTGCAAGCAACCACTACTAAGTTATGGGTTACTTTAAAATAGAGAATAAGTTAAAATACTAGGAAATGTATAAAGTTGTAAGTTGTATAAAAAAGGAAAAAACATGAAGATGGGTAATAGTTATAAGGGTTTTTTCATATTCAAGGAAAAAACCTGGGTTAATAAAAGTTTTTTTAGCAAAAAGGGACAGACAGTAGAAGGATGCAATTTGTTGAATAAAAAGCCTTGCAAGAATGAGTTTTGATAAACCAAAACTCATTCTTGAATTTGGTTTTACCATGATTGTATTTGTAGAAAAAAGGAAATGCAACCTTACAACGATTGGAGTGGCTTAAGCTTGGCAGATAAAGCAGGTCTAATTACATTTACAATGTGCTTTTAGACTTTGTCTGAGAGTAATACAGGAATGCCAACAATATTGCAATATCTTTTTTGCAGTAAATAAATGCGTTTTGTTGTCTAACAAAAATTGTGGATTTAAAGTCCAGAATTTAAATCCATAAGCCTCAGTAAGCTTTAGGCTGTTACAGAAGAGAGATTAGATTAAAAATCGGCTGGTTTATCCAAGCAATCAAAAGGTGAAGATTTTTAGACAAGACAATAGTATAAAGTTGAGTTTTCAGCAAATAGAGCCACTTATGTAAAATTTTTACGAAGATTGATATTGTAGATAAGAAACAACACAGGTGCAAAGATAGAACCTTGTGGTACCCTTAAAGATACTTGAGATAAGTGAAGAGTGTAGGCCTTCAAGAATAACTTTAATACTGCAGTTAGAAAGAAATAATTTAATAATCTCAAAACCTTTATATAAATAAACTGATAACAGAGTGGACTAATCGTAGGATAGTTAGAGAGATCAAAGTGTTTTCAAGAGTTTATAAATATTGGAACCATTTATTTAGCTATGATAGACTATGATGGAAATCTTGGCTGAAGCACAAATTGTAGAAGTGTTTAATTGAGAATTAACTTTAGCATTGGAAACTAGAGTGATTTGGATGTTTAACAATGAGTAAATCTGTTAAACTGGCAGGAAGAGCCATTAGAATCAAGAGTTAAATTAGAGTATGATTTCTTTACAAATAATTCTGCTTTATTCTGGGAAGAAGTAAAAAGATCAGACCCATGAATAAGAGATAAAATGTTAGACTTACTTTAGTTAATGACATTGTTGAAGACTAACCAAAAGTCTCTAAAACCTAACATCTGAGATAGGATACAAGATTTAGTAAAATGAGAATAACAGAGCTTAACATCAGTTAGGACCTTTTTAAATTGGTTTCTTGCAATAATATAAGGACATTTGTTCTTAAGAGAGATGTTCTTGTACATCTCCCACAGGTTCTGGGTTAGGGTTGAGATCTGAAGATTGAGGCAGCCAATCCATCACCGATAGGTGTTTGTCTTGAAACCACTGCTTGACTACTTTTGCAGTGTGTTTCGGATCATTGTTTTGCTGAAAAACCCATTTTATTGGCATATTCCATTCAGCATTAGGTAACATAACATCTTTCAGGATATTTTTATACATGAAACGGTCCATTATTCCATCGATTCGATGTATTGGTCCTAGACTGTTAGCAGAAAAACACCCCCAGACCATTACATTGTCTGCATCATGCTTTACGGTCTTATGGCAGTAACGTAAATCGAGGCGTTTTCCAGCTGGTCGACATACACGGCAAATGCCATCGCTCCCAATGATATTGAACTTCGATTCATCACTGAACAGGACAGTTTCCAATTTCTGAACATTCCGGTCAATATGAGATGTAGCAAACAGGAGTCTTTTCTTCTGGTTCTTTAGTGAAATCAGCGGTTTCTTTGAAGGGCATCAAGAAAACAATCCGGCTTCAACAGCACGTTGTCTGATTGTTTGGTCTTGACAGATCATAGAATCCTCTCTAGAAGTGGTGGAACGCGGTCTTCCACCTTTGTTATTTGCTGCCAACTTCCCCGTAGAACGATACTTGGAACATAGTCTTAATACGGTCCATTTTTTGATGCGATATTCATCAAAAATACTTTTTTGTGACATTCCACTTACGTAATCGCCAATAATTTTCTTTCTTAGTTCCAATCCAAGACTGTTGAGAGCCATTTTTGCACTTGAAGTCATAAAAATAATAAAAATAAACAATCACGTTTCTCACAACTTACCATATTACATTTACCTTGTGGTGATGCAATAATGCTCTGTGGAACACAATGTCTTGGTCGGATGTGGACTGTATTGATGTAATGAAACACTTGTTGTATTTCACTTCTTGTATTTTGATATTCTTGTTCTTTGATAAAACTCACTTCGATAAACTGTTTTGATAATACTGACTGATTGACTTCCATATACTGACTGAATTACATGTCGGTTTTGATATCTTTGAAATTAACTGTTTATAATTTATTCAAAGACTTTTTTCCTTTCAATTATGAGTGTGGTAGACTTAAAAAAGGATTTCATGTCTAAAAGACACAACTAAACAAGTTAAAAGTAAGAGGGGAAAAAAATTGAATTAAAACTGTCTGAATTCTTTTACCAATATCAAATCAGATTAAAATTTAAAAAATGCCATAAAACTAAGAGTAGATAACTTTTCAAAGATAGGTAGTACATCACAATAAATTACAAAATTTTGAAAATTCACAAAATAAATCACAAGGAAAAATAACTAGCTTTATTGAATTTGCCTTGCCTACTAACAAATTTGAATTTAATTTAGTCAAATTTTATAATGCAGTTTTTTTTAAACATCTTATAGAAATTTTTTCAAATAATATTTGTGTACTAGGATTTCACATAGAATGTAGACTTCTTTACCATGCCAAATTTAAAAAAAAGGTGAACAAGAAAAATAGTTGTTAAAACATTTTAGATATTAAAGTACATTAACTGTGTCTATGACCTTAAGAAAAATATACTGCTATATTTATACACAAAAAAATACAAAAATGTGTCAGAAACTGTTTATTTTATTAAACAGTTATTGGCAATAAAAAGTATAAAAAAATCATTAAATTACTTGGACAATGCAGTAAAAGCTGAAAATGCTTTTGATCGAAGTTGATTTTCCTGAAAGAAGTAACATATACTAATTTACACTTAAAGGTATTATAACAATATATATTAAAAAAACATAAAAATGTAAAAAAAAAAAAACTTTTAAAAAATTACCTCGCTTTTATTCATAGAAACTTTGGAGAGTGCTTGGTATAGAAGAGCAGACAATACTTCCATTGTTTTTTCATTTCCATGAATGCATATATGCTTTATGAAATCAACTGTGAAATGCTTAATTTTCAGGTTTGATTCATTACCGAACAAGCATTCAAAGATTATCTAAAGATTAATTATTATTTTTCATGACCTTTATTTGATTTGGGTAATATCTAGATATAAAAGACATTATTAAGAGGAAAAAAAAATTATTTATTGTTTTTTGTCTTCTTTGTCAGATAATTGTCTGGACTGAAATCAGCTTTAATAATACAAATAACTAGATTTGCTAAACTGATTACAAACATTTATATATATATATATATATATATATATATATATATATATATATATATATATATATATATATATATATATATATATACATATGTATATTATTCTTATATCCATTTTAAAACTTATTTAATTCTCTATAAGTTAATTTACTTGTTTTTAGATAATTATTAAAAATTAAGATAATAATGATGTCCAAGCAAGAAGAGATAAGAAAACAGATTTACGAGTTCTATTTAAATAATAAATTGCAAAGTAAAAAGCCAAAACTGTGACCAACTGCTATGAGACTCATAACATCAATTTTGTCAAAAAAAGTGACAATCCGCCAGCAGTACCGGAGTGTCACATCAAAGACTTGTAGGCTATTCTGAAAGGCAGAATAGCCCAAAAGTTATGAGAAAGTGTATGAGGGTAACTTGCAAATATAAAAAGTGAAGCAACTACAAACCAGAATAAAGCTTTGTTTGAAAAAAATTGTCCTTAACCTTGTATTTTCAATTTTTGGGTCAACTCGTCTTTGAGTTGATCAAAACCGAAGACACAGACTGGTTGAAGACAAACTTAATTAAAAATAATAATAAACTAAAAACTTTAATTAATGATTTTTTTTCTTAATCTCTACCTTAAAAATTATGAGAGTAATGACCCTTGAAAGTATGTCCGGATTTTTAGTAACCAGCAGTTATCTAAATTGTTTTGAAACCCCTCCTTACAATGCTTGTAAACATTTGTATTTTTTTGGTATTTTTATGCAACTCCCTTCAAGCATGATGAAGATCCACAAGTTTTTTTACAGTTAGGTATAGCTCTGGTAGAAATTCTAGCTTTTTCCCACAACATAATACACTCTCAAAAAGGTTTGCAGGAAAAGAGTGGCTATTAGATTCAAGGGTTGAATTAGAGTAGGATTTTTTTTGCAAAAAACTCTGCCTTATTCTAGGGAGAAGTAAGATCCATGAATTAAAGATAATAAGTAATGATCAATGTATCAATGAAATAATGATCAATGTATCAATGAAGTAAGATCCATGAAGTCAGATCCATGAATCAAAGATAAAATGTTAGATTTACTTTAATTAATGACACTGTTGAAGACCAAAAGTCTCTAGATCAAATATCTGAGATAAGAAACAAGATTCAGTAAACTTGGAATAATAGAGCTTAACATCAGACAGGACCTAATGGTATAAGTGAGAAAACTTGAAGAAAGTGCCTTATATATTGTATGAATGAGGTTTAGTTAATGAAAGAAAATTCTCTAGATTGTTTATATTAGAGAAACAGCATAAAAGAGGAAAGCTAAAGCCTGATGATGATGATAATAATGATGATAATGATGAGGATAATGATGATAATGATGATCAAGTTGATAATGATCACGATCATGATGGTAATGATGATTATGATTATCAAGTTGATGATAATGATGTTTATATATGCATACATATATACAAAAATATAGCATGAATTTTGAATTAAAAAAATATACTTTAGAATGTATAATTATTTATGCAGCCCTGGTCACAAACCTGGCCCCGGCCCCAGTCAAATATCAAACTTGGTCGTTTACAATATATACATATACATTATATATACATATACATAGAATTATTCAAATGGTTGTACTTTTAGATATCAAGTTTTACATACTATCGGGAGAAAAACTAAAAATAAAATTTATCTAAATTATATGATATCTTCCTACTTATTAGGTTTACAAAAAAATTAACATAAAATCCTATTAGATAAGTTTATAATTTACTTGCCTATTAATCACTTTCAGCAATAATAACCGCTATACATATTCTTGGCAATCTACTTAACAACTTCTCCAATTTGGCAAAGTCAATTTTATGCCATTAACTAATAAGTTATTTCTAGATCTTATGCATTGTTAGGCATTAATTTTTGACATTACCTTTTATTCCTTCCATAAAAATCAAGTAGGAGAGAGATCTTGTGATTGGAAGCTAAATGATGATAATGATGAAAAATGCGGTAGTGGTGTAGTGGTAAGAGTGCTCGCTTTGTAAGCGAGAGGTTTGGAGTTCGACTCCCACCATGTCCCTGGAAGTACCGCGCTCAACTTAATTTCTCCGCGCAGCGGCCTTGCTTGTCAAGGTTCGTGTTTCGAAGTTAAAGAGTTGAGAGAGGGTTGTACTACAATTTACAACAAAAAAAAAAAAAAAGAGTAGCCTCCTTGACTGTAGTGGCCCCCTCGGACCTTGGGGAGGTGAATAATAACAAAAAAAAATAAAAAAAAAATCAATATTTAATAATTCTCAAACTCAGTTAAATAACTTATACACTTTTCTAAAAAACATGTTTTAGATTTAAGCGTCAAGTCATATTTTTATTAAAAAAAAAAGATGGCTTTCCATTAACCTATTTTTCCAAAGGTATAGGAGAACTTTTATATATATAAAAGTTATCTTATAGCCTCGGATATATTTATTTATATATATATATATATATATATATATATATATATATATATATATATATATATATATATATATATATATATATATATATATATATATATATATATATATATATATATACATACATATATATATATACATACATATATATATATATATATATATATTTGTATATATATATATATTTGTATATATATATATATATATATATTTATATATATATATATATGGAGTGGCAGAATAAAGTCATGTGTCCAGTAAATTATTAATAGAATTTCTCGCTTAATAAAACAAAAACACCAAACAATCACTCTTTATTAGTACAGTGTTTACCTTTTTAATAAACTACAGTAAATAGTCATTCGAGAAGTGCAAGAATGACTAATACTTAGTAAAAGTCCACCCTTAGCTAAACGCATCTGTTCAATTCGCCGAGGCTTAGACTCAATAAAATCTTGAAGGTGCTGATGAGTGATGTTATTTCAGGAATTTTGCAGCAAGTTCCAAAGTTCATCCCGATTGCGTGGATTTCCCATACATGTTCAATCGGATTCATACCTGGGCTCTGGGGTGGCCATTCCATTTGCTCAATACCCTTATCATGTAAGAAATCGCAAACTTAGCTTTATGTCAAGGTGCGTTATTATGTTGGAAAATAAAGGACCCTTTTCTGCTATAAAGCTCTCTGGCTGTAGGTAGCATGTAATTTCTTAACACTTGAAGGTATTGGTCTTGATTCATGTTGCCTCTGCAATCGTACAAATGACCAACCCCATGTCAGGATATGCATGCTCTTTATATCTAATAACTTGCTATATATATTTGTGTTTTGTCGTGACCTCAGGCGCAGTGCTTGTTTATCTGCGAGTTACTTTGTATGCATTGTTTTTGTTTAGTAACCAGAAACTTCTTATATGTTTGTTACATAATTAGTTTTATTAACTTTAATGATTATTATTAACTTTGTTGAAAACGCAATTATTTTTGTAAGTCTTTGATTACAAATTAAATCGATAAAAAAAAGATGTATAGTACTAATAAATCTAAAATTTATAATAAATTTTCAAAATTTTGACAATTTAAAAAATATATATTTAAAACATTTATTTTAGTAAACAAACAATAATTGTTTATAAGATTTACGGCTTTGCAGACGTGGCTCCGAGAATGAGCCATAGAATTGATAATATATATTCTTAAAACAATCTATGCTAGAAATCTCAAAACGTCACAAAACATAAATAATACAATTTCTAAAACATTTCAGCAGAATACTCTAAAACTTTATTTCACTTAGCCTATTTTTTGAACTAATAGAATTTGTTTGTTAATTTGGCGGGTTTTTAGAGTTCGCAAATATTCTTTTTATTCTTCCGCACCAAAATGTTTTGAGAGCATTCAAGTTTTTTATGTTTTCATGTATGTCTGTAAAACAAAATTTTTTTGTTTCCTACATAAACTTAAATGTTCTCAAAACGATTAAAAAACCTTGCCAGTTTTTCGTAACTAAATATAATTTCTGTGGTCAGTATTCGAGAGTGATCGCTCCTTCTTCCCGACCAAGCCTGGGAGTGCACATGGAAGGTGCGTCCCTATAAGTGCTATTAGTATTAATTTTTACATAAAGGTCACAAAAAGAGCTCTATGATGCATCAGTTGATTAATGAGGTAACTACATAACTTATACAATATTTATGATTGATATCTCTGATTGATGTTTCATTCTACACTAACTATAATAGAGTGAAGTTCTCTTACACTGAAGTTATTTTACACTGGTTTGGCTTCTAACCATGCTAGTCCTAAAGCTCAAAATTTTTGTCTAATCTCTTAACCAGATAGTTACCTTCTATTTATTTTCTAAACAAGTATTAATGAAGATAGATGATTGTTTTCTAAACAATCCCTTATCTTTATTAATTTGTGTTGCTGACTTGTATTTAGCTTCCTTTTGTTCTCCTTTAGTTGTTTCAGATCATGCTATTTATCTCACTAAAACATTTCATCACAACAGGTACATCTACATCATTTCTATCATTGCACTTCGTACTATTACCTTAAGAATACTCGAATTCCTATTATTTTTTTGTGGTGTGCTTTGGGCTGATGCTTTTTATCTCTCCGCTAAAAACCTCTTATTTCGTTCTATTTCTGATTGTAATCATTTCTTTCATCTTTTCCATGAGACTATCTGGAGAACAAATGTCTTTATTATTGCAAGAAATTGAAGCAAAAAGATCTGACACTAAGATTTGCTACAGATTACTAAATTTTTTATTTTATTTCAGATGTTAGATTTTACAGACTTTTGGAATTTACTAAGACAAGTCTTTAATTTTAATTAACAAAAGCAAATCATAAACAAATACAAGCCTAAAATTAAATCTCTTATATATGGTTTGGATCTTTTACTCTCTCTCTCAAATATAAGATCGAACTATTTGTAAATAACTCTTCCTTGAACTTATCGTGAATCTAATCACCAATTTTCCTGTTATCACAAAAAAATAAGGCTTCTGTTGATAAAAGGTATTTTTTTATACTTGAACTCCTCAACAGTTTAAAGTTTGAATAAGATTAATTTACAAAAATTTAATGTTTAACTATGCATTAATGAAGTTTCTAATTATGGCATTTAGCCTACTTTTTTTTTCAAATTTTGCTATTATGAAAACTTTTAATTTAAAATTATACATCAAACATTTTGCTTTAATAAAATGTTTATTCTATGTATTATGCAATATAAACACTTAATAAAATAATGTTTATGTGAATTCTATGTATCATGCAATATAAACATTATTAATATAATAATAAATTTACTTGCAAACAGATAATTGGATTGAAATTAGTAGAAAGTTTTGATTTTAAAATAAATGGAAAAATCTTTTTTTTTTGACGAATACTTGAGGGCATTCTAATTGCATCAGCAGGAACCTGGAAAAATAAAATAAAATACAAAGAAATTAAGAAATATGTATATATATATATATATATATATATATATATATATATATATATATATATATATATATATATATATATATATATATATATATATATATATATATATATATTAACAAATTTAATATTATGTTTTTATTAAATAAAAATTATGCACTTTAAACCTTTATTTTATATTAAATAACTTATTTTGTAATTGCGAAGGTGTTCCTTGAAACATATGCATCAATTTTTAACCTTTATTATGTATTAAATACCAGGCTTGGTCGGGAGCAGGAGCGATTGCTCTTGAATATTGACCACAGAAAATATATTTAGTTGCAAACTGGCCAAGTTTTTTAGTCGTTTTGAAAACATTTAAGTTTATGTACGAAACAAAAAAATTTTCTTTTACGGACATACATGGAAACATAAAAAACTTCAATGTTCTTAAAACATCTTCGTACGAAAGAATAAAAAGAATATTCGTGAACACTAAAAACCTGCCAAATTAACGAACAAACTAATTCAATTGGTTCAAAAAATACTAAGCGCAATAAAGTTCTAGAGTATTCTGTTGAAATGCTTTAGAAATTTTATTATTCACTATTAGAAATTGTATTATTCAGCATGTATATAGCATATATATAACACAAATATATATAGCAAATAATTAGATATAAAGAAAAGTTTCTAGATATTGGTTTACTAACTCTAATTATTTTTGCTTAAGTTGCCATTCTTAAAACTCGTTATACTTTTTTCTGCTTTAAATACTAATTAAAATTAAAAAGCCCACTCACTAAACATCATCAGCGATATTGTGAAGCAGTTTCGTTTCCTCGTCATAAAGTATTTTTAACCTTTTTAGTTGATTTCTATCTTGATAATTTAATTTCTATAGTAATTCAATGATTTAATTATTTCATTTGTTTATCTTACTAAGAAGAATTGCTTCAAATATGTTAAACTTTTCAAACTACGCGAAACATAAAATCGGTATTTGAAAAATCAACTTTTTTTATTTATAAAATAATTTAGCTTAAATAAAACTAAAACTTGCAAACTTTGTTAAATAAAGAATATTTGTTTCCTTTTTAAACAATTGTAAGATGTTACTTTATATAAAAAACATCGCTTAATTTTATGAAAAAAATGATAAAAGAGCGATGTTCAGAACCTTATGGCTTTATTTCGAAAATATTTGTTGTAAACGTAATTTATTTAGCTTAAAGTTTTTTTTGCGTTTAAAGATATTTTATTTGCCTAATAATGTAATCATCTCTCATTGGTCCAACTAATCTTTGTGCTTTTTTTGTTTTGTTTTCTAAAATGTTCTCAAAACGACTAAAAAATCTGGCCAGCTTTTTGCAACTAAATATTATTTACGTGGTCAGCAATCAACAGCGATCGCTCCCGCTTCCCAACCAAGCCTTAAATACCTTATTTTGTAATTGTGATGGTGTTCCTTGAAACATATGCATCAATTTTGTAACTACATCCAAATTTTCCAGAACCTCATGGCTTTATTTAGAAAAAACAAATTTAATCAATCAAAAAAAACATGAGTACTAGATGTGTCAAAAATTAGACCAAAAGTTTTACCTTATAGCTTTAACAGCTTGTTCTGCTTTCTCAATGATGCTACAAATTTAAATTGATCATTATGTACATTAAACTTTTATTAAGAATAAAAACACTTTTAAATACCAAAAAAAAAAAAAAAGTAGAATTAGAGAAAATAAAAAAGTACATATAAACCAGGAAACACAAACTTTAGAATATATGATTTTGGGTGAAAACATAAGAAAAATGTTTTCACCTAAATCCATACACCTATTAAAAAATAAACCACAACAAATGATGAATATTTAACTGACCCAAAATAGAAAAAAATGTATATAACTCGACGACAACGACCATTAAGTCATTACCCTACTTATAAAAGCATATAATTTAGATCTTTCACTATAGGCATATCTTATTTTCTATTAAAAAAAAGCAATTTTACTATAAGTTAATTTTTAGTTTTTTTGATAATTAATGATGAACTATAAATGTAATTATAAGATTTTTTGTGAATATGCATCTGTATACCTTTGTTTTGCATCTCCTAATCCAGCAATAAGAGGAATAACGACTTCACACTCAGGAAATACATGAAGACTTAAAAACTTCAATATTCCAATTTTTGCCTAAAAAATAAGCAGTAATTATTATTTTTTAACTGAAAAAACAAGATTTGGAAATGCTTGTAGTCAAAAAGGTTCTCAAGTTCTTATAAAAAATATTGCTCCGTGTATTTATAAAAAAAAAACATAATTTTTTAAAACATCGATAAATAAAAAAATAAATTTATAAAGTTGTTATTTGTGAAACTTTGTTTCTTGATTGGCTATTTTTCATTGTGAAACTTGTTTTTTTTTTTAATTTATGAAACAACAGCTAAAAAGATAACTATCAAATTTCATCAAAATATAAACAAAGTACAATGTAGTAGGAGACAGTAAACCTGATATAGAATCACCAATTTAAGTGTTGGTAAGGGTAATTAAAGAATAATGGCCTAATGAAAACCTGTCAAAACCACGCAATTGTGCAACTATGGACTTGAAAACTTTAAATAAATGGACTTGAAACTTTAACTATGAAAACTTAAATTATGGACTTGAAAACTTAAAATAAAAAAAATTATGACTGACTTCTAGGGATTGCAATCCCGGGCATGAATTACGATCCCGGGATTTCGGGATTGAAGTAAATAAAATCCCAGGATCCCGGTATCTCGGGATTTTATATAATGTGAGTTATTTGCTAAAAAACAGAACTTAATACTGCATATATGAATATACTTTTTGATGTTATCAATTCTTTATTTAATTTCATTATGTTTTAATGACTTACATTAATTTTCTACGACGCCTTAAATTGTTTTTTGTGTAACAGGCAGCAGGTGTATATAAAGATCTTAAAATAATGGAGAAATATATATACGGTACCTTCCATATTATGTTTTAAGATTACAGACTTTACAGAATAACCTTCATCAAATAATTGGATATGTAAATAACATTTGAACATTTAAAGTGTATTTGACGAAAGTAACTAAACAATCAAAATTTCAAAATAAATTTGTAAACATAAATTTTCTTAAATTTGGGTACCGATGTAGCTGCTGTAGCAACAAGCTACTTTGTAAAAAATAAGATAATTAGTTGTTTGTTAATATTGAGAGACTAAAGCTGTCATTCGAGCCAGTGTTTCGTCTAAGGTTTTTTTTTTTTCGGATGCAAAGTAACTCGTTATTCTTCGTTTCGTAGGAGGCTTCTCGTCGGTTCTGGCATCATTCAACTGTTGACTCGAACTAGGTAAATTTTTGTCGGCTGAAGTTACTTTTAAATTATGCTTAGTTGATAAGTGCGTATGAAGGCCTTTTGTAGAACCACCCAATGTTTTTAAAATTACACCACATTTCTTACATTTTGCTGCCAAATTATCCGCAGACTTCAAATAATGTGACCACACTGAAGTTGGGTCTTTATCTTTTTTGTGTAGAAAAAATGATGTTCCCTTTTCACTGTTTTCATTCATGTTTAGAAGGATATTTTTTTAAGGTGCATTAGTAAACAACATATTATTGCGGTAAACAACAAAAGCATTAAAAAGGTTATCAGTTCAAAACGTTCAAAACGATTCATTACACAAAACGATTCATTAGTCAAATTTTGTATGTATTCACACTAGAATTCCTTCAAGCGGAATAAATTGTCAAGGGCATTATAATGTTGCAATAACTAATAATTGTACAAATATAATTATACAAATCGCTAGAAATATCCCAAAGGGAATTGTTAAGTAGTAATCATTAAATTTTTTAGATATAATTTTTTTTTTATTACTTGTTCATTTTTATTTTTTTTATTCTCTAAAAATATTTTTTGAAATGAACAAAACGACTTAATAAACTCAAGCAATCACTTAACCACAAATTTGCTCAACAATTTTAAAATTTATCTTTTTAACGCGAGAAGTCTTGCCAACAAACTTAACGATTGTTTTTTATACAATAGTCAAACAAACCTGCCTTAATTTGTGTTTGTGAAACTTTTTTCAATGATAAAATCCCGAACTCCATGGTCTATTCAAAAATTTGTTCCATTTATCGTAAGGATAAAGCATAAACAGGATAAACCTGCAAAGCAGCATTATATAACTCGTTATAATTGAGTATAGTTACCAACTTTGAACATTTTGTTTTACAAAATAATTTAATTAGTTCAATCCTGCTATAATCCCGAAAATCCCAGGATTTTGTGTTTAGAATCCCGGGATTTTCGGGACCCAAAAACGTCCGGGATCCCGGGATTGCAATCCCTACTGACTTCACAAATATTCTAGCATCTATTTTTTGTATGCATAACCTTTCTCAGTACAAACAAGTATTTTTTGTACATCAATCATTTTGTAATCGTAAATAAAAATAAAACTTTTTTATTCCCACTAACATAGACTTGTAAGAAATCAAAATGTTGAAAAAATAAAATTTTGGAAAAAAATAAACTTAGCTTCATTTTAGAAAAACTTTAATTTGATTGTATTCATTATTATTGCTTATTTTTAAAATCTAGATAAAAATCTAGTTTTTAAAAATAAGCTGTTTAAAATCACAAAAAAATTCATTTTTATAACAAAAATATCAATTCATTCTGTCATATTCAAAAAAAATTAAATTGCCAGATTTTAAATTTTTTGTTTTTCTAAAAGTATCCATAGCATTCTTGCTTAAATAATTCAAAAATTAAAATAGTATATAAATAATATAAAAACGTTAAAAATCTAAAACCAACTTGTTCAAAAGTTATTAGCTCTTAAAAACTATGAAAAAAATCTTTTTTGCTTAAAGAGTAATATCTTATGCAAAATAAAGAGTAATATTTTACGCAAAATAGTTCTAAAATGTTTAAGTGTTTACTTAATCATCTTAGATATTTAACTGAAATTTTCAAAACATGCTTTATATATATGTACAAAATCAAAAAGTTTCAGCAAACTCTGAGATTTAATTTCATTTGCCATAGAAAAGTGACCTTAAAGCTTATAACACACAAAAATATAATAAACAAAAATGTAGAAAAGAAAAACTAGCACGGTTTCAAAAAAAATACAAAAAAAAAAAAAAAATTACTTGAAAAAAATGTTTTTATATCAAAAGTCACAAAATATTCCTTAAATATAAAAAACTAAAAACATAAGTTTTTCACAAACCTTTTGAAATTTGTAAAAGTTTTAAAAACCTGTTGTTATGCTGATTCCAGAGATTTTAAAAGAATTTAAATATTTTGAAAATAGATTTTATAAATCTCAAATCTATTAAATTTATGTTTGCTAGCTCTATAGGTACTTATCTTGTTTTTCTCTAATTTAAAATGTAAAAATTGATAAACTCAGAATATAGTACAAATCTATGATGTATAATATAGTACAAATCTATGATGTAATTCTAAAGATGTGATTGCAAGTGACTACATTGTTTTAAAAAGTTTGCATGCAAACATCAATAAAAAATTTTAATTTTAAACATGACTGCAAGTAGATTGTTTTAAAAAGTTTTCTAACTGACTACAATATTTTAAAATGAATCTAAACATTAATAGAAAAAACTTAAAATACTATTAAATACTAGTTCAATTTCTTCTTTAGAAAAAGAAGGATCCATTTTAAATTTGAGACATGCTGCTTTACTAAGTGCTGGTGGAGGAGCCTTGTCGATTCCATAATCAAGATAAAAACTGAAATAAACAAAAGGTAAAAATTAATTAAAACACAAAAAAATAAAAGGTGATAAAGTATTAAATTAATTTTGATAATTTATTTTAAATAAAGTATATATATACTTTATTTAAAATAAATTATCAAAATTAATTTAATAAAAAAGAAAATCAAAAAAATAATAATAAAAATGTCTCTAAATATCACAAACAAAAGTGATATAGCTTCATTTGTAAAAAAAGGCTAAAAAAAATTATTTTGGAATAATATAATCAAACAACTTTTATAACAAAACAAAACATAGTTTAGTAAAAGTTTAATGTCAGGTTTTAATAAAAGTTTATGACAGTTTTAAGTAAAAGTTTTATGTCAGGTCAGGTGTATGGTTTTCATGATCACCCTAATACTGGCAATATGTAACCCAGTGCAACCTGTTCCATTTCCTGCTGCCTTATAGGATTCGCTTTCTAAGCAAAGGCTGGAAGGAGTTTGCTTCCTGTCATCAGTACTATTAAAATCATTCATATCTATAGTAATATATACATATATATTTCTTTATTTATTTTGTGTGTGTGTCTTTTATATATTTGGAGGTGTTTTAGTTACTGTTTCAGCTCACCTGTAATCTATTTTATATGTATGTTTGTGTTCTGCCTAAATCTCTGGTGCAGTGTTGACTCACCCATAAGTTGCTATCTGTATGTTTGTGTTCTATCTGAACCTCTGGCACGGTATTCACTCACCAGTAAGTTGCTATCTGTATGTTTGTGTTATGAATCTCTGGCAGGGTGTTTGTTCACTCGTAAGTTACTTTATGTATGTATGTTTGTGTTCTGTCTGAACCTCTGGCACAGTGTTTACTCACTCATAAGTCACTTTATCTATGTATGTGTTTCATTTAAATGTTTAAATGTCCTGCTTAAATCTATTTTGATGAAGTGTGAGCTCATTAACTAACTAGACACTCTAACTATAAAACCAACGCTCACCCTTATCTCTAGTATTTTGTAAGATGTAACATTTTTCCTATTGCATTTCCTAAATATCATATCAATGATTAAAGGTACTGTTTGTAGGAAGTAGCTTCTTTTAAGTACTACTGGTTAGGTCAGGTTCAGTATCATGCTGGGTTACATAATACTAGTAGCACCCTGCTACTGGTATTATGTAACCCAGTACAATCTGCCTGATGCCCTGCTGCCATGTAGAGTCTTGGGTAGATGTTAAAATGTATGCAGCTAAAAGTCTCCTGCCCTGGAGCTTTTGGTTGAGTATAGGTTAGAGATAGTGTTTATCTCGATAAAACTACTCATCTTGGGCAGATATTAACTGCATCTAACTAAAATTCTCTTGCCTTGGGGCTCTTGGTTGAGTAAAGGCTAGAGATGGTGTCTCAATAAAAAATTTCATCTTGGGCAGATGTTAACTGCATCCAGCTACTGTATGGTAAAAGGCCTTCTAGGCAAAGACATAAGGGAAAAGCAGAATAATTCTTCTAATCAGCCCCTGACCCCTTCGTCATCTGTTAGACTGACACAGATGTAAACCTGTGTTACATTGTTTCCTGCCTAGGATGATGAATGATGGATCTTCTTGACTCTTCTCATAGGTTTCTGCTTGTACTTCTTTAATAGTGGCTATGCAACTCTTTTTGTTATCTCCTTATGAGAGTACAGCTCTAAAATTCAGTTTAATGGTTCTGAGGCCAGCTGGTAGTAAGGTTTTGAAATTCTGTGGAAGCTCTCAGAGAAGTTGATTCAATCAACAGCTGCAAAATACCCGAAAATTAACAGTACTATGTTGCGCATGGATGGTGTTCTTGTTAGTACTTTTAGTAGGCATTTTCGAGGACACAATAGGAGTCCTATGTTATGACTTAGGGTTAATTAACAGGACTGAAAAATTACATAGCTGCTTGCTTAGGAGGCCATGCTCTATCTATGAATGAGTCAAGTTCTCTTTAAACTTGAATCAAGCCTAAAGTAAATAAAAGTATTAAACATAAAATCTATCCCCACCACCTAACTGTTTTAATATATCTTTTACTAATATTTGTGGTCTGCAAAACAACCTTCCATCAAAACTCACCAGACTTGCTTGCTTATAGTGAGACTAATTTAAATTCTGCTATTCCTTCTTCTGATCTCAGTGTAGATGGGTACTATCCTTTGAGTGGCAAAGACTCCAATAGTCATATGCTTAGCTTTAGGGTATACATATGCATCAATTTACCTATTTGTCGTAAAATCAAGATCAAATCTTTTGACCATTCTTTTATGTGTTTTCACTTAGCGCCTCTTCACTCTATCAGCTTTCTCTTTGTTCTTTATTGTTTTCCTTCTTCCCAAGACTGCACTCTTTTAGATTTCTTATCAAATTGACCAGATTTCTTATCAAATTGACCATGCCCTCTCTCTTTTCTCCTCTGCCAATATTATTTTTATTGGTGACTTGCTTATCACACTGAATGGCTTGGCTCTAACTCCACTGACTCTACTGGCACAAAAACCTATAACTTCTGCATTTCTCAATCTCTTACTCAGATAATTAACTTTTTGACTTGTTTTCCTGGCAACCCTAATCATTTACCTTCATTCCTTGATTTATGTCTGGTCTTTCATCCTAGCTTGTGTTCAATTCTCCATTTTCTTTTTTAGGTGGTTCTGACTTATGATATCATGATCTTTTTAAATCTTTTATTTTGGTTTTTCTTTTTGGATTCACCCTATCATCACACTACTTAAACTACCCTAAGCTGACTAGGATTCCTTTCATGATTTTCTTCATGACAGTCCTCGGGTTGATATCATTTTTCTCTCAGCTGAAAAATGCGCCTCCTATATAACCTCTTGGATTCAGGCAAGAATGGAAGCTTTTCTTCCTTTTTATTGGTTCCAAGTTATGCCTCATTCTACTTCATGGTTTTCACCTTCTTGTGCAGCTGCTATATCTAATCGTAATCATTTTTTTCATCTCTTTCAAAAAAACAACTCTCTTGAGAACAAATGGTTATTTATTATTGCAAGAAATCGATGTAAAAAGGTGCTGCCAGATGTTAAGCTCTATTATTCTCAGTTCACTAAATCTCACATCTCATCTCAGAAATTAGGCTTTAGAGACTTTTGGAAAATCGTCAACAGAACCCTTAACAAAGGTAGGTCTAACATCTCTCATTCATGGGACTGAACTTATTACATCTTCCAAGGATAAGACAACTATTTGCAAAGAATTTTTCTTCTAATTCAACTCTCGAATCTTATAGCCATTCTCTTCCTCCAATTCCATTTAAACAGGTTAACCTATTGTTAAACATTCAAACTACTCCAGCTTCTGTTGCTAAAGTTATACCTCAATTTAACTTCTTATAAAATTGCTCTCCAAAACTCCCTTCAATTCTCTCTAAAATATTTAATAAGTGCTTCACTGAGTCTTGTTTTTCTGCCTGCTGGAAAATGGCATCTGTTGTTCCAATTTTTAAAAGCTCTGGAGAATTCTAACCCCTCCAATTATTGTCCAATCAGTCTTCTTTCTGTTATTAGCAAGGTCTTTAAGTCTTTGATCATCAAATTTCTTATATCCCATCTTGAGTTAAATAATTTACTGTCAGACAATCAAGACGGTTTTCTATTCTCTCCCTCTATGGCTGACTTGCTGTGACTGAAAGATTTTATCATACATTAGATGGAGACGGAGAGGCTAGGGCTATTGCTCTTGGCATATCTAAGGCTTTTGGCAAAGTTTAGCATACTGGTCTTCTCTATAAGTTTATTTCATATGGTGTATCTGGAAAAGTTTTTGAGATTATCAAACCGTTTCTTTCTAACCATTTATTTAAGTCATCCTTGAAGGATGGAGCTCAGAGTGGCTCGTAAATTTTAACTTTAACAAAACTCAGTTATTTACTGTAACAGCTATCGCAGCAATGTCGGCTCCTATATTAATGAATGGCAATTTCTGATATTAATGAATGTCAACCCTCTCATTGAATCCATTGAGTCTTTATGCCTTCTTGGATTATCATTTACTATTAACCTTTCATGGAAACCATATATACAATCCAATTGATAAATTAGCATCTGCTAAGGTTGCTTCTCTTTATTGTGCTCGCCATTTTCTCTCTCCTGATTTCATTCTCTATCTCTACAAATCTCTTATTCGTCCCTGTATGGAATACTGTTGTCATATTTGGGCTGGTTTTTTCAATGAAGCTCTTTCTCTTCTAGACAAGGTCCAAAAACGCATTGTAAATGTAGTCGGACCCGCTCTATCTACTAAGCATGAGCCTTTTTGTCATCATCATAAAGTTGCATCTCATTTTCTTTTCTACAAATACTATCATGGCTGCTTGTCAAAGAAGCTATCATCTCTATTTCCATCAACTAAAACTCATTCTTGCTTGACTCGTCATTCAGCAAAATCTCATTACTTCACTGTAACTGTCCCTGCATGTTCTATAAACTTTTATTTGTCTAGCTTTTTTCCCCTCACCTCAACCCTTTGGAACTCCCTCCCATCTTTATGTTTTCCTGACTCATACAACCTTTAACTTTTCAAGTCTTCTGTCAACTGTTTCCTTGCTCTATAACTCTATTATTTTTTTCTAGTTACTCCCAATAGATGAATAGTGGTTAATAGTGGTTGCTTTTAGCCTTGTTGGGAGTGAACCAGAATTAAAAAATGATGATAATAAAAAAAAAAGGATTTTTGAAACAAAAATTGAAAAATTACACCTACTTGTAAGGAAGTAATAAAAAATCTTGGAAATATTCTAACATATATTTTCTAACTTCGCTGTTATCTGCAAAGTAAAGCAACTTCTTCTTTTCATTTAAATCATCAGGGTAAGGAAAGTAACTCAATTGCAACAGTATGGTTTGAAGTATCCTTAAAAATAAATAAATTATGTATTATCATAAAAGTATATTGAAATGTAAAATTTTCAAAATGTAAATGTATATATATTGAACTAAACTGAAATGTGTACTAAAATTCTGAAAATGTAAATGTATAATATTGAAAAAATAAACGTAATGTATATATTGAATTAAACTGAAAGATGTTCTAAAATTCTCAACATTAAGAAATTAAAAAAAAATCTGCCAAATATTATATTATATTTCTTGATAATATGTTAAATATTGAATTATTTTTATAAATAAAAAAATGATTTTGACATAAAATTACTCTTGCTGCAGTACAATTATTAGCTTATTACTAAGTTGAAATTTTATTTAACACAAAGTTATTATTAAATTTTATGAAACTCAAAAGAAAAAAATTAACAAATACATTGTTTGGTGTTTTACTTGGTTTACTGACAAACACAATAGCATTTGAGGTAACAAATCAAGTTGAGATTCTTTTTTTTCACGTAGATAGCCCATTTTTACATAAATAATTGTGAAGTTCTAAAAAAAGTGTTAATCATTTTTAACTATAAATATGAAACTTATATAATATATAATTTATTTTATATACTTAAGGTAATGTATAAAAAAAGAGCAAGAATCACTATTATAGTGCAAAGATTATTATATAAATTAGTTAATATTTAACACATAATTCATAAGCTGGTTAAATATCAGTAAAAAAAACAAGAAACTGTTTTTAAGTAAGTAAAGTTCAAAAGAAATCATTTTCAAGCACGAAATGTTTTTTGGGGGAGCAGGTAAAGAGTTGAGGAAAATTACAATCTTGTGTTGATTGATTGCAGTACAAAATTATACATTTACTGAATCTGCTTAGTGAATTTGTTTGTGGAACTCTATGTCTTAGGTTTATCGTAAGTTTGTGGAACTGCCTCTTATACATGAGACCGATACAGTGTCTTGGTAAATTTTATATGTAAGAACTCATCATGTATCTTGGTAAATTTCTCCTTTTCAGTGCAATGCTTTATAAGAAATAAATACATCCTGTTATACATGTATGTATATATTTATGTATGTGTATATTTATATATGTATATATATATAAATATGCAGGGATAAACCCAGACCTGTTTTGGTGCCACTGGAGCAATAAAGGTGCCTTAAAAAAGCACCTGAAATATGTTTATTATTTGTTATTTTTTTGTTACTTTTTCATTAAGTGTAAAAAAAAAAAGATTTAAAATGCAGTAATAAATAACTAACTTTCTGTTTATTTTAGCGAGTCCACTTTATCTTTGGGACAATAAAATGATTTAAAATTTATGTGCAAAAGATAGAACAATTTTAAAATATCCAAGATTTTTTGAATGAATTCAAAGTAATGTTAATTTTTGAACTAAGAATTAACTGTTTTTAACAATAAATAAAAGTAAAAAGCTTCTGTCTTAACAACAAAGTAGTAATTGCACAAATAGAATTTTTGAATGAATGAACTTTTGACCTTTTAGTTAGTAATTTTATTTTATGATGAAAAAACAAAAAAACGAAATAAAAACTTTTTCAGAAAGTTTGTTTCTTTTCATATATTTGACAACTATATTAATAGTAATAGAAAAATCGATTATTTATAAGTTGTCGATAACTTGTAAGTTATAAATTTTTCTTTCATTAGGCTTAACTAAAGTTTTGTTAAGTTTTTAAACTTCTGTCTTGAGGATGTAACTTATTTAATGTACCTAATACTTTTAATTATATATTTATTTTAAATCATTAAGTTTACTGTAATTATTTCTTTTATTTAAAAAGCACTATGAAAATTATTACCCATTAATAAAAGTTAAATGAACAGAATTGCTAATATTTAAATCCATAAGAAAATTAAGGTAATAGTAAACACACTTATTAAATGCTTATGTTTTGTATTTGTTATTGTCTATATAATATATAGACAAAAACTGTTCACATACAAAACGTAATTAAAATCAAATTTACTAAAATATAGTTACCAATTATTTAAAATGCTTTAAACAATTTTCAATAAATTTTTACAAATAGTATTGTATTCAAAAGGTGAACATTTATTAAAATCTAAAATAAAATGATTTTTCTTAGGGTAGCTAAAGTAGCATATGCTTACATGCGCCACTAAATGCATGAATTCAAAGAAATGCCTTTTACAACAAAAGACATTTCTTAGGTTTTAACCTAAGGTAATCGAGTAAGGGGGAGGCAACCTTATAAAAATATTAATTTTAAATTAAGTTTCTCAAAATTTATACATTGAGGAAAGTCTTGAGCAACTTTTACTGCTCTTTCAGCACATATATTGCTGTGTTGAATGGATTTGTTTTCAGACAAGTATGAGCTTCCTGGCAATTACCAACTTTCTTGATATCTTCTTTAAGATCACAAAAATTATTTTTTATAAAAATATGTTTCCCAAACCATATTTTGTACCAATTAAATTACAAACTAGTTTACAAACTAGTTCACTAATTACTTTACAAACTAGTTAACAAACTACTTCTAGTTGAGATGAGTTTACAAGAAAATAACTTTAAATTCCATAAACTAATTTTGAATTCTTGAAATCTTGCACAATGAAGAGATAGTAATGTAGTAGGGAAACTAATTTCCCTACTACATTACCATCTATGAAAGTATCTATTTTTTTTTTTAAAAATGATTTGTTTAATTTCATATTATCTTTTTATCTTAAAATTTTGTAGTCAGATGAGGTAGACTTTTTAGGACATACAGATTCAATGACAAACTTCAAAACTCTGTCCAGCACATGATATCAACACAAAATGTACTGTGGATAATCAAACCCCAGGTCACTAAATTTTTTTTTGTAGTCTTGAGATTGTAGTCTTGCCTTTTAGTTTTGTTTTGTTTTGTTTTGTGTGTGTGTGTGTGTGTGTGTGTGTGTGTGTGTGTGTGTGTGTGTGTGTGTGTGTGTGTGTGTGTGTGTGTGTGTGTGTGTATTGTATTTGTTGTAAATGATTACAACAAATACAATAACAGCAGTTGTATTTATTGTAATCATTTTTTTACCAGTATTAACAGCAGTTGTATTTTTTATAATCATTTTTATAAAGTTCCATAAATCAAAAAAGTAAATATTTTCCAACAACCTATTAAAAATAGTTTTTGCTTTACCATCTTTTAAGACAAGAACATCTAGTTTTATTTCCTTTAAAGCATTTTTCAAAACCACTACTATATGTCCATTATGGTTAAAATCTCCATCAAAATGGAGACAAATTTTTATTCTTCAAATATTTTTTGATTTGGTACTTTTAAGTTTTTTCCTTCTCTCATAGTTACTTTGTATACTGATGACTGATAAAGTAAGTGATGACTGATAAAGTGTGTCTATATCTAATCCAACATCTTTAACAAAAAATTGTACACTGAAGCAACTTTTCTAGATGATTACTTTGCAGCTGTTAATAATTTCACAACTGGTGAAGTTTTACAAGATTTCTTCGTTCTCACTTAGTATCAGAATCAGTGTAAGTAACAGTAACTTCTGCAGATGAGTCTTTAAATTCAAGCTTTCATTTTGGTATTTTCTGATTCTCTTTAATGGATAAATTTTTGTTGAGTCAGCAACTTTATTAGAACAATAACCTGGTCTTCTTTATGTTTCTACCTGCATATTTTAGAATTTTTTCACTTGTTTGCCACATACTTTTCAAATCACTAATATTAAACAATTAAAGAAAAAAAAGAGATAACAATTTTTTAGTTTAATTATTTGTCATAATCTGTTGAAAAATTCCTACTTTACAATAAACATAAAAAATAATTTTTATTTTATTTTACAAAATTCTCTTAGTTCTAAGCAAATAATTTTCGATTTTTCTAAACACGCAATAGATTTGAATCTTTCAATCACTGTAGCTTTTGATGGCATTCTTTTTAAACTGTTTAAATTGTATTTTTTTTACATTTTCTAGAAATATTGTGAAATCAATTTTTTTCTATATTCTTTGTCAAATTTTTTTTGTTTTTGTTTATTAGATTCTTTGATTGCTCATATGACATTCTAAAAAATAAAGTGTTAATGAAATTATTCCATTGTATTTAAAACCAAATTAGCTTTGATTTGCATGAAACAAAAAATTTACAATAATAGTCAAGTTTAGATGTATATATTTGGGACAAAATCTGTGTTCTACATATATAAGGTTTTATATATATATATATATATATATATATATATATATATATATATATATATATATATATATATATATATATATATATATATATATATATATATATTATATATATATATATATATATATTTATATATATATATATATATATATATATATATATATATATATATATATATATATATATATATATTATATATATATATATATATATTTATATATATATATATATTTATATATATATATATATATATATATATATTTATATATATATATATATATATATATTTATATATATATATATATTATATATATATATATATATATATATATATATATATATATATATATATATATATATATATATATATATATATATATATATATATATATATATATATATATATATATATATATATATATATATATATATATATATATATACACACACACACAATCATTTATACTATCAATTATCAACCTAAAGAATAAAGAATGTTTGGAAAAATAAGTTTAATGTGTCTGTACAGAAGCATGCAAAAGTAACCAGACAAACACATAACTTGAGATAACTTTTTTGAATAAAAAGTCCAATCTTTCAAATTTTCACTGGAATATATTAAAAAATTGATTATAAAGAAAATTTTTTATTAAATCTAAGCAATCTAATCTTAAAATTTCATTTTATTGAAATACGCTTGTGCAAAAATATCAGAAAGGAAAAAATATTTGAATCAGAAAGCAAACAAATATTAATATTTGTTCTAATATTTTTAAATTACGAAGGACGAGATCAAAGAGTAGTTGTAGAAAATATAACTGTTAATAAAAAAGACATTTATTACATTGTCTTTATACATCTTTAAAATCTGCTAGCATAAATATGCCAGGTATGTTAAATCAATGGCACTCTCTGTTAGGGTATGCTTAGGAGCATTTTTCTATTAGCATCAACATATTTGTGTTTTTCTCCTCTGAGGTATAAGAACTGGAAGGATGCAACAGCATCAATTGAATTTAACCATCCCCATATGCAAAGCTAAGCTAAAAAGAATGTTTACCAAGTTAAAATTAGTTTAAATTGACTTTAGATAACTCCTTATTGACTCTAAGATAAGAACATTTATTAAAAATAGGCGAATTTGATCCACCTGTAGAAAAGTATAATATTATGCAAGTAATAAAAATGGGACATTGTTGTTCAACACAACAAACAGCAGGAGAGATGTCCAACACAACAATGCTGCAGAGTGTTTAAAAATATAACCTGAGATCTGGATAATTCTTTCACATTTTAGTTTTTCCAGTTTTTAAAAAGTTTTCTGTAAATACTAATTTAAGTATATATTTTCACAATATATTTGTTTCTTAACTTTTTCAGTCTATTTTTATCAACTGTTGTATACTCATAATAAATTAATAAATAAATCATAATAATTTATTGCTTTAACTTTTTTTTTCAACCATTCTTTATAATGCTTTTAAGGATTTCGTGATAGAAGATTAAACTCACTAATTAATGTCAGTCATACTTTCTTACCAGGCAGCTCTTCATCGAGATAAATCTGTAATTAATTGAAACGGTAAAACTTTAGCAGATTACAATTTAAATTATACAGATATATATATATATGAATATTGATGTAGACACATGAAAGTTTATTTGAAATATATCTTTAATACTAAAACTAGTTTTTAAAAGTCATTTTTATGCATCTGAAAGTTACAGTTTTTCTAATTGTCACATGATAAAAAAGGTATCATTGTAAAATATTATTCTAACCATGAATTTATTTGCATAACCGGAATTAAATTAGATTGAAAATGGAGCTAACATGTTCAAACTGTTGTTGGTAAGATTTTATACTTTATAAAATAAATATATTTTAAGAGAATAACGAATGAACTTTTGCACTTTTCATGTAACGTAAGTTAATAAAAACATGATAAAGTTTTGTTTGTTATATAATTTAGTTGAGAAACCTAAGTTTTTTAACAATATATGCGAAAGAATATTAAATGTTACATTTTTGCATTTAAAGTTTTGAATAATGATGCTTAAATAGAGCATAATTTTATTTTAAATTTGTGTAACGTAAGTTAAAACAACAAACATTTTCTTAAGTTCTCGCACTTTTTCCTTAACAAAATGAATTACATCATTAAGTAATTATTATTTCATTGACAAAGTTTTAACTGGAACTTTTTATATAAGGAAAATTTAGAAAAAAATCTTTTTTTTTTTTTAATGTTAATTAAAATTATTTATATTATTGCTTTTTTATTTGTATATGTATTCTTAATTTGTTTATCATAAATACACATAATTAAATAAAAATTAAAAAAAAAAAATTATATAAATATTTGTATTTAGACATTAAAAAAAACAGATTTATTTGCTATTCTCCTAATATAAAAAAAGTTTGAATTTTTTTTGTTTTTGTTTTAGTAAAACAAATCATTTGTATATGCTATTATGGGTCATCCATAAGGCATGTCAACCTATATTTGTCAATTTTTAACCCCTTTCCTCCTGTCACAAACGATCACATATACCTGAATCCCTCTCCCTCTTAAACTGTGATAGCAGTTTTACTTCAAAAATATTTGAAAAGATTTAAATGTAAATATTTTGCAGCATTTTAAAAATTCAACCTAATGAAAATAAGGCAATACGTAAGGAGTGTAAGTAAAAACTTCAACAAACCAAAGGTTTTCTTATTTAAACGACTCAAATAAGTATTAAAAAGTTGTAATCCTAAAACAATTTTCAAAGTTGTTCTTGGTGGAAAAACTGTTTTCGACTTGATAACTTTACTGATTCGCAGAAATCTGACTTTAAATTTGAAGCAATTTTTTTACCTATATATATATATATATATATATATATATATATATATATATATATATATATATATATATATATATATATATATATATATATATATATATATATATATATATATATATATATATATATATATATATATATATATATATATATATATATATATATATATATATATATATATATATATATATATATATAACATTCTTCAGATTTCATTATTTATAAATGTTATTATTTTTAATTGGTTTTAATTGTAATACAAATTATATTAAATTTCTATAAATTATATTACTTGTTAGAATAAGGTAAGAGTAAACAATAAATTTTTACTTAATGGAAAGCCGAGGCTTTTTCTAATACATAAAATTAAAAGATATAGTAAAATTTAATAATTTAAAAAAATCTGTGTATAGTAAAAAGTCGAAAAAAATTTGTTTCTTTAAATTTTATAACACAGTTAAATACTGTGTTATCTACTATAACACAGTTAAATACTTCGTTATCTACTATAGTGTACTAAAATTTAAGTACTATAGTGTACTTAAATTTTAGTAACATTTTTTACTTATCTTCTTCCATGTAGTTTTTTTGGAAAAAGAAGAGAAAAAAAATCAAAAAATAATGAAAAAAAGAATTGCTGTCCCATCCCAAACCCTTAGTCAATGTAGCAGCACTTCCTTGCATGTTTTACCTAAATAGAACATGCAATGTATTTATGTTTGTATGTAAAAAAAATGTGGAATTAGCTCCGTATGAAACATCACTGATAGCATTTTATGCAATATATAGATATAGTTATAGACAATTATAAATAAATATATATATATATATATATATATATACATATATATTTATAAATATAAATATAAATATATATATATATTATATATATATATATATATATATATATATATATATATATATATATATATATATATATATATATATATATATATATATATATATATATATATATATATTGAAATGAGTATACCTTGACAGTCAATGCCACAAATTCATTCTACAATAAATGTTTTAAAAATATCTTGTAAATTTATCAACATGAAACATTTTTTTAAATAAATAAAGAAAATATAATTTTTCATAAGGAGCAATCATGTAAATAAGTTAATAAAAAAATAAATACCAAATACTGTTTAATCAGTACTTCTGTAGGAAGTAAAATCTTGGGGCGACTGTGCAATCGTTTATTTACATGAGATAATAATTCAACAAGCTATATAAAATACAGACAAAAAATTCAAGTACCTTAACTATGCTTTAAATAGCTTATAACTTCATAACTTTTTTTATAAATATTTTTAAAAAAATAACCTATAGATACAAATCAGGATTTTGAAAAAACAATTAGTGAGGTAATATAAAACTGTAAATTAACATATATAAACTTATTTTTTTTTTTTTTTTTTTTTTTTTTGTTCTTAACAAAATTAGTACCGATTATTACTAAAATTTAAAATCACTAAAACTAATTTATAATAAATTAATTTTTATTTTAATAAACAATATAAACTGATTTAAAATAAATTAGTTTATATTATAAAAAAATATATAAATAATAATAAACCGAAATTCTGGTTCTGGTTTTGGATATATTTAAGATCTCGGTTTGACCAGAATATCGGTTCAAAATACTACCAAAAATAAATATCATGAAGCTTTACTTAGCATTATAGCAATATTATCAATTTAATAAAAATAATTTAAATAATTTTTTTTTTTCAATTAAATATTAAACTTTGAATGAATTATAAGAAATGATATTTTGCTTTGTTTGGAAATTTTATTTCATTTTTTAAATTAATTTTAAATTAATATTCTTGTAAGATTTGTAGTGTTGAAATATTTATCCAAAGAGCAAAGTGATTGTCAATTATCTAAAGAGAATTTTTTGTGTAGCTTTCACTACATATTTTAACAATAAATATATTTGTCAAATATATTTTTAACATTTGTTCTTCACTTAAACAAACCACATTGGAAAACCATCTTATATTTCATTCTAAAAAAATGAATTTAAAAATAAATAAAAACTAAATTGTAGATATACTTCAAAATTGAAGCAAACAATGATTCTGTGCAAAATCTGCAAAATTTATGAGGATTTTATGACTTAAAAAGTTTTATGAGGATTTTATGACTTAAAAAGTTTTATGAGGATTTTATGACTTAAAAAGTTTTATGAGGATTTTATGACTTAAAAAGTTTTATGAGGATTTTATGACTTAAAAAGTTTTATGAGGATTTTATGACTTAAAAAGTTTTATGAGGATTTTATGACTTAAAAAGTTTTATGAGGATTTTATGACTTAAAAAGTTTTATGAGGATTTTATGACTTAAAAAGTTTTATGAGGATTTTATGACTTAAAAAGTTTTATGAGGATTTTATGACTTAAAAAGTTTTATGAGGATTTTATGACTTAAAAAGTTTTATGAGGATTTTATGACTTAAAAAGTTTTATGAGGATTTTATGACTTAAAAAGTTTTATGAGGATTTTATGACTTAAAAAGTTTTATGAGGATTTTATGACTTAAAAAGTTTTATGAGGATTTTATGACTTAAAAAGTTTTATGAGGATTTTATGACTTAAAAAGTTTTATGAGGATTTTATGACTTAAAAAGTTTTATGAGGATTTTATGACTTAAAAAGTTTTATGAGGATTTTATGACTTAAAAAGTTTTATGAGGATTTTATGACTTAAAAAACAAGAATTACATAAACTCACATCACACCTAAAGAATCATCTGACATCAGAAATCATCTGACATCATTAGAAATTAAATTCAAAAGGGAAATGAAGAAGTTGAATTCAAACAAAAGAAAGGGAGTTCTAATCTTCATAAGCTCAAAAAAGTAAAGAAATGACATGTAAGAATCTACAACTCCAAACTGGGTTCAAGCTTCCTCAAAAAATGACTTTAAAATTCTGAAAAAAGCTAAAAAATTTCATTATTATTTGAAATGAATCTTCATCTTCAACTGTGGTTTATTGTTTTAACTAGGATTTACCAGATGGACAATTTGGGTTTTTTAAGCGTCATGCTCTTGTTGCTCAAAATTATGAAGTCGCTGAGAAAAAAATATTACAAAGTTTACTAGAACTTATGAAAAAATAAAAGTTGCTCTAACAGAAATGATAGCTCAATCAAATGCTGAAATGTGTCAGTCAATTGTTGCATGGTCATCATTTCATCAGGGCTGTTTGAAAATGAATTTTACTTTATATCTAAAGACTGGAAATTGATGGATTTGATGAAAGACATACTGCAAAAAACATTTTCAATTTAAACAACAACAGAGGAGAGGTAAACTTCTTTAAAGTTGGAGTTAGCTTAAGAGACAATGCAACAAATGTAAAAGTAGCTTTCAATAAACCAAGCAGTAATTATGAGTCAGCTGGATGTCTTAACCACTTCCTTCAACATGTGATCAAAAAAGAACAGTTTTCAGAATCAAGCATAGACATACAGATTAAAAAAATTAGTTCTACTGCTTTCTGCAATAAACTTTAAGGCAGGATTAAAAAAAAAAATTACAATTCATCAATCAATACATCATTATTAAATATTCTATATATAAAACATTGCTGCTTTTACTGCCTAACCCTGATCTGTTGCCGAATTTAAAAACAAATAGACCATGTCAATAAAAAACATGCTGTAAATTTAATATACATAAGAAATTAGTTTTCAGAAGCATCTTTGCTTTTAAAGAGGTACATTTATATTATGTATTTACATGAAAGATATAGTTCTATTAAAAGTTCTATTTATAAACAAATCCCTTTACTTTCCTGCTGTAAATATAGTTTTTCAAAAAATATTATTTTGGTTTAAATTGATATTTTTCAAATGGTTTAAACTATGGTTTAAACCATTTGGTTTAAACCTACCAACCCTGCTTTATAGACAGCAAGAAATCTAAATGGATATTAAAGACAGACTTAAAAAACAATGTTAAAAATAATGTTTAATGTTGTCCCAAGATAAAATTCTACCTATTACATGCTTAAGTAATAAGCTTAAACTTTACACCTAAAACATTAAGTATGTAATAAGCTTAAACTTTACACCTAAAACATTAATTAGGTATGTAGTAAGCTTAAACTTTACACCTAAAACATTAGTTAAGTATGTAATAAGCTAAAACTTTACACCTAAAACGTTAATTAAGTATGTAATAAGCTTAAACTTTACACCTAAAACATTAATTAAGTATGTAATAAGCTTAAACTTAACAATCAGTTTCTGCATTCTAATTGTGATAACAATATTTAAAGAAACAACCTGCTGCAATGTCAGTGTTCAGGAGTTAAGAATTGGTATAAAAAATGTAATGGAAAAGTATTTTTTAGCAATTAAAAAAATAGTTTTTTTGAGATATTCTCTCAAACAAAACATACTACTGCTAGAAAATTTGGAAAAAAATTATTTTTTGTAAAGAAAATTTTCTAATTGTTAGATTCCATTATTAATTATCATTATTAATTTAATGTTGTTTTTTTTAATTAGAGCTAACTTTAAAAAAAATAACAATTTTTAGTTTTGGTTTTAGTTCCTGTTTCATTCAAAAATAAGTGTGAAACCATGGAGATTTCACATTTGTATGCTTATCTGTATAAAAGAAAATGTTAATTTTTTCTAAATTTTTACTAATTTTTAACTTAACATTGTTTACCTTAACTTTTTAAATAAACAAGACTATAAAGGATAAACAAATTTATGTTTCTATCGTTTATAGGCTTGTTTATTTAAAAAGTTAAGGTAATTTATTTAATACTACAATTTAATAATTATCTTATTTTTAAATGTATTATTAATAAATTAATAATATTAATAATTAATTTATTAATAGCACATTTAAATAATTCTAAAAAAAACTTTTAATAAGATTAAAGTCAATAAAGTTTACATCGAAAAGTTTGTAACCAGGATTAGTAAAAAAAAAAGGATCAAAACTTATGAACATTAATACAATATTAATTTAATAGAATTTAATTTACAATATTAATATTAATAGAGATGTCATGCTGACAAATTGTTTGTACTTTATGAAATCTAAGAAATTTTTTATTTTTTTTTAAATCAATATGCATCTGCAATCTTATGTTTTGGGCTTTTTCAATTTTAAATATGTTAATATTAAAAATTGAAAAAGTGTTATATGTTAAAGGGTTATGGATATTATATTTTAAGATTAGGTATTATTTTAAGATTAGTGGTGTATACCTGTTGGAGGTGCTTCAGGTCTCTATTCAGTATGCTTTTGTGAGTATCACCTAATGTGTAACCAGGAATAAATTCGATACAGCATTTTGACAAAATTGGGAATTTGTCAAAATATTTCTTAATCATCCTCTCTCCTTTCCTGCAATTTAAATGTGTTCTGAGAATGTGTGGGGTCCCTTTCTTATATTCTTTACTCCACTTCAGCACGGCATACATTGATTAGACAACAAAAATAAAATATCTGTAACATTTATCGAAGATGTATATGAAACCAACACAAAATTAAAAGTTTTTACAACGACATGGTAAATAAAGCTTCGATTTCCAAAGATATATTGGAAATTATTTATTTTTATATTATAAAATAATCAGTGTATATTAATTATTATTAAGAACAATATATTTGATTTATTTGTGTGTGTGTGTGTATATATATATATATATATATATATATATATATATATATATATATATATATATATATATATTTAATCTATATTAATTTAATATATATATATCAGGCCTTGTTTTAAAGCGTTACGCCTAGAGCGATTTACGTACGCCTTAAGCGATTTTTACGTACGCATAGAGCTGTTTTGGTTAAGCTACTTTTTATCATTTTTTAACTTTTAAATTAGCGGTAAAATAAAAGAAGTAATTAATTTTTAAAAAAACCACATTAACTTTCAAATAACAATATGTAAAGATATTTATTTAAAAAATAAATTTACTTGGAAAATAATTGTTGTAACTTTTCATCGCTATATATCTTTCCTTTTTATAGCAATTAATTTGACGCTAAACTTTTTATTCAAATATTTAGCAACATGAAAAATTGTTTGTCAATCCTTAACTACAAATTTTTTGCAATGTTTTTAATAAAAAGTAGTAATTTTTTAAAGTTTTTAGTAAAAAACTTTTAAAAAATCTATATTCCATATTTATTAATACAGAATATAAATGTTTTTTGTAATATAGATTTTT